GTCCGCCATGAATAACTGAAGGGCTCTAAGCTTTTTTTGTTTTTCGACCCGATTGGCAAATTGAAATTTGCGTTATGAAGAAAAAAAACGCTCCGTTGGTGAACTTTAACCCCAAAAAATGGCGTCGGCGGCTTTTGGTGAGTTAAATATATTGTCTCTAAATTCTAAATGTAAATAACCCAATGGCACATGCTAGAAAGTTTTCGCACTTTTAAACTAATAATAACTAAAATATTTATTGTTAAAAATATATTTTATTGTTTTTTTTATTTTTTATAATGTAAAAATTAAAAAATATAAATAATTTCCCAGCCTCTCTTAGATGTCACTACATGGAAAGAATCAATCGCCCCAGCTTTAGCCACAAATTGATATTTAAAATGTCAAATAATGGCACTCGTCTGGCAGTTACAGGCTGTGTAACTTTTATTTTTTAAAGACCTAATTCGTATATTGGCGTACTTTTCAAGGATTAATTTCGCAGATTTTTTTTTTAACTGGTAGACGATATATCCCCCTCTCTATGTCCTCATCAGTATGTCCTCCTCAGTCCTCTCCAGAGAACATAAAAAAAAAAAAAATTCAGAACACGGTCTTTCACTTTGTGCTTCCGTTTCTTAAAGGAGAAGATGCTATTAAGATAGAGCATGATTACAGCGGGGTAGGTGGAAAAAAAAAAGGGGGGGGGGGATTTTAATGCTGTTGGGTGGGACTAGGGGTGGGGGGTAATGGTCGCAGTATCGAATATTAATGTACTTCCGACTCTAGTAGTAAGACTCCGATTCAAGAATGTGACATCGGTTGTAAATGAAGAGACAGCAGTATATGCATGATTAAAAAGGTGTTCTTTAATTCAGAAAATTGTGTAATTTTATAAGGAGTAGAATTTGTTTACAATCACGACTCTGGTCAAAACGTTGTTCCACTAAGTCCCCCAACGAATCCAAGTTCAAGTTCCTTGCTTCTGGCTGGCGATCCGTTTCTCTGAGCTCTCCTATTTCATTCACTCCCTCAGAGAAGAGGTGGAAAAGGGGAAAATGTTTAAACGAGCAGCTCTGGTCGTCTCGCTAAAAAGAAAAAACAACAAAAAAACAGCAGTCACGTGTGTCAGTTTCTTGTAACACGCTATGTGAAAATGAGATGGAGCAGAATTTCAAAATTTGAGCGATGGCCGCCAGCGAAAAAGAGACGGAAGATGTACTTTGTCTTGTTATTACGTTCAGAGCTGCTTCAAGACAAACAAAAAAATCTTTAAAAAATTTGGAGTTGGTGGGGGAGAGGCTGTAATGTGGAGGCAAATTTAAGTTGGTGTCGTAACATAGCTTAATCGTAAATTTCAAGGTAAATGATTGAACAGGCTGTGTAACTTTTATTTTTTAAAGACCTAATTCGTATATTGGCGTACTTTTCAAGGATTAATTTCGCAGATTTTTTTTTTAACTGGTAGACGATATATCCCCCTCTCTATGTCCTCATCAGTATGTCCTCCTCAGTATGTCCTCTTCTCTATGTCCTCCTCATTATGTCCTTCTCTATATGTCCTCCTCATGATGTCCTTCTCTCTATGTCCTCATTTTGTCCTCCTTATTATGTCATCCTCATTATTACCTCTTTATGTCTCATCTCTATGTCCTCCTCATTATGTCCGCCTCATTATGTCCTCATCATTATGTCCTCCACATTATGTCCTCTTTATCATGTCGTCCTCTCTGTTTTATCTAAAATGTACATCAGCAAAGTATGTGTCATGATGATGGCTGGGCTGCTGTTAGCCATTTCGACTTGAAATCTTCTAAATGCCTCAAGTCCATTTGTTTCATGACCTTAATTCACTTGGAAATCAATTAATGGGATTCCCCGTTAGTTATCTAAAGCTGCCAAATATGGGCCAGGTTATTGTCAATACCCCTGGTAGACGGCTTGGCTCAACCAGATTGCTGGCTACCTATAACCATATAGCAAGACATGTATTCCGAACTGTACTGGAACTACTTTTTAAAAAAAAATAAGGGAGAGGTAGTTATTTTTTGTCCAAACGATATTTATCTGGTCTCCAGAAAATTGCATCTTATTTTCCCACCCATCTTCTATTCCATTTGAATTCATTGACTTTGCCAACATGGCCCCTTGTTGTTGTTTTCAACAAATTGCCAGAAGTCTGATTCAACTGGTCAAACAAGTATCATAATGAACCTGGGTTTTGTGATGTAAACTTATGTATCACAGATATTAGCAAATTTAAGCTATTTAAATCATTTCACAGGTTCAGCATTAGTTTATGCTTTGAAAACCTGGACGAATCAGTCGAAACAGCTACATGATGTAAAACTCTCTACTGGTTATTTTAATGTAACACTTTTTTAGTTTGGGTCGAATTTCTGAATAAGGCAGATCCTCTAATGACAGGGGCAATGGAAATATAGGTCTGTGTTCAGTAATCTATAGGATTTTTTTGGAAATTTTGAAAATTGGCAGTCGTCAGTAGGAATTGACTGCGACAGTATAAAATGGAAATTTTTAACAGTCACTGCGCCAGTGATTGGTAGGAATGGTTTGTTACAGCTGGGCACTTTGAAAGCAGTACTTTAATTTTCAAAAGTAAGCAATATGAAAACCCAAAATCCATTTCTAACTGAATCCAAAAAGTTTATTTACCAGGATGTGGTCAAATCCAAATTTTTCAGGTCTGTTGATTCATCTTTTGGGCTGGGTAACACCTGATGTACGAAGATAAGCCAGACGACAGGCTGCGATACCGCCGTCAGGACGCGATACTGCTGTCAGGCCGCGATACTGCTGTCAGGCCGGGGTACTGCTGTCAGGCCGGGGTCCACTCCTCTCCAGTTGCACGGTCCCGGAAATACTCTTCTCCGCGGGAATCTCCGTCCGTGACACGCTAGCCTGAAGGCCGTGTAATTAAAGGAAAGCGCGGGGATTACAGTAGCATCCAGAGCGTGGAAAGAGAGTTCCCGTCTCCGTCGGGGTCATTACCGGTCTGTGACAGGTCAGGGCGGCAGCGGTTTCACCATGGACCAGTTAGATCCGTGATTAGGGTTTTAGATTAACCGCGGTGTTCGTTTCGGTGGCTGGACCCCGGTTGGGTTGTTTGTGTTCGTATCTGATTGAAAGTGGTCGTTTTAAGATGGCGGCCGTCTTGAGAAGGTGTTTGCTTTAAGACTGCGTCCGTTCTGAGAAGTTTGTTTCAATTAATTTGCTTTTCCACACGCCTTTTGAGGGTTGGCTCTGAACATATAATTAAATTTCTTGGACTGTCTCATAAGACTTCATTTTTTTTTTAAATTGTAAAATTTTAAACTCCATTCAGCACTTTGTGTTCAAATTGGTCAAGATTAGTCGAGATTGGCTTGTTGGCGGATTTAAAATTTTTTAAATAATACTAATTTTTTTTTTTATATAAATAATAATGAGACTCCTCAGTTCGCAATTTAAAATTAAATACAGACAAAGATGATCATTCACTACTAAAACCAAAATCATATGCTTTAAAATAATTCTATACTTCACATTCTTATCCGTTTTAGAAATCATATAAACCTGTTCGATTTATAGATTCAGTGTTTATTAGATGATCAACGTTCCATTGGTTGACCGATTAATTAAGAAACCCTATTCTGATGAATACAAACATGGCAGATTCGATACGTTATTTTAACGATTACATATAGATATCTGTCACAAGCGACGGTGACGACCAAGAAGAAATTGTTAAAAGGGAGGAAACTGCAACAATTCTATTAGCAAAAAAAATGCCCATTCATTGTCTTTCTTTCTATATTGCATCTTCAAATCTTTGAGAGATGGCCAGAGCTTGCGAGATACCGGTGTGGTAGTGGAAAGCTGTGGGGAATGGGGTGGTGGTAGAGATCCCTTAACAAAGAAACTGTCCTGCAAAGGGGGTTGAGGGGAGGGGGGGGGAATGTTGTTTAACTATTTGTATAACTCGAGACGAAATTGAAATTAAAAATTTATAAAAAAATGACAGGACGACACAGTTTTAATAAATTTCAGCTAAATAATCGACAATAAATACTTCAACTCCAATGACATGTTCATAAGTATATTTATTTGTTCAATGCTCACTACTTGTTTGTTTTTTATATTCATCTACCCATTTTTTTTTTTTATTTATAATGAATTTCACTTTTATTCGCATATCATGTGATGTTGAAGATATGATAGTTATTTTAGTTTGTTAATGGTTGAATGTTTGAGAATACATATAATTTTATTCTTCGCGTAATTTGAAAATAAAAATCATTTTTGGAGTGATTACTCGAGATTCAGGCGTCGTGCCACGACAGCGTTATATCGAGATTCGCGTTGTAGCGGGGTTCCGCTGTACTTGGAGAAACAAAATCGTTCTATCTCCGCTTTTCAATCATGAAATATAACTTAACACGCTATGTGTGACTCAAATACCTGACCGTAACCAGGTATAGGCGCTATGTGTTACTCAAATACCTGACCGTAACCAGGTATAGGCGCTATGTGTGACTCAAATACCTGACCGTAACCAGGTATAGGCGGCAAAATCGTTATCTTTATTAATTCATTACCTCTTGTACATAACCAATCAATAAATGAAGCGTAATTTGTAGGGGAAAGCTACTCCAAAGTCAGAGTCAGCTGCATACAAGAACTACCTCCCGTTTTAGACGCCCGCCAAGACACAGGACGCCGGCCCTCATACAACTAACAACAGTGACTTCATTGGAAATCGAAAAGTCCCAAATCCGTTCTGCGACACTCTAAAAGCAGTCAGAAACAAAACCACGGAAATGAAATCAAAAGCAGGCCCTTCAACTGGGGCGTTATGAATCGAAGAAAGAGGAAGAGAGAGGGGAGAGGGGGGACGGGATTAGAAATCGATGTGACTCCCAAACTGAGAGGGCGTTGTCGGTTGTTTTATTGTTTTTAGACGCATTATTTATTTATTTTTTTTGTACAGCCCCGCCCACTGTTGCGCACGGCACGCCCAGCGAGAGAGGAGCGTGTCAACTGTGTTTTCTGAATTATTGCGGGACTGCAGAGTGTATGTCTAAAATTGAAACACGAATTATTTTTTTTACGATAACATTTCAATACTGAGATAAATGCATGGTGCGGACCTAGTTCGACCTACCCCCTAGGAGGTGCTGATCTGTCTAACAACATCAGCTGGACATCCTTTCATCCACGTTGTCTGGAGAGATTCCTTATCAAGTGAGTTGTTCATGTCATCTCCACCGAGCATTCTTTCAGATTATCATTTAATGAAGCATCATATCTAATCGTTTAAACATTTATTTTTTTTTATAATTTTTTTTTTTGGTTTGTTGAGAAGACCTAAATGATAGTGCCAATTTAGAGTTAACTGATGCAGGTGTGTGCAGGTATGTGCAGTTACGTGCAAGTGTTTGCAGGTGTATTCAGGTGTGGAGGTGTGTGTATGTGTGCGCAGGTGTTTTCAGGTGTATTCAGGTGTATGGATGTGTGCAGGTGTGTGTCGGTGTGGGCAGGTGTGTGTAGGTATGTGTAGCTCTGTGCATGTGTGTGGAGGTGTGTGTAGATGGGTTTAGATGTGTGCAGATGTGTGCAGGTGTGTGCAGGTGTATGTAGATGGGTATAGGTGTGTGTAGGTGCATCTAGCTGTGTGCATGTGTGTAGTTGTGTGTATACGTTTGTGTGCAGGTGTGTGTGTGTGTAGGTGCTGCCTGTAATAGAAGAGATGTATTTAGGGTTATACGATCATGGCAAAAACTCAGTTGTTGTTTTTTCGCCCTTCACATGCAAAGATGAACAAGGCTTTTGACTTGAGTAGTGGCTTTGACTTGAGCTGTATTTTGTTTAAAGTGAGGGAGAATTGCTCAATTCGTCAGCCTCACTCTCTCGTCCTTGCTTATTTTCGATCCAATGGCAAGACTTAGTCAAGGCGACTGTAATTTGACCAAGATGCAGTGGATGACCAGCATTGCTGTCAATGCGCTCTACGTTGCAGGATTTGTCTTCATTTCCTCTGTTTCAATGTCATTACTCCTACGGGACTCCATCTCCGGGTTAGAATTCAGGGTTCCCTTTCTCTTAGATATTTTGCCATCCAAGGTTAACGAGTCCCATCCATCCAGGGTGCTGGTGATGTTTTTGCTTGTATATGCGTTCTTTTGCGTATTGATCTCCAGTCTACTTAGCATGACTTCACTCGTCTGTACTCCAAGTGACCAACAAAAAATGTATGGTGAGGATTCTCAAACGTTTGTAGTTTTATAAAAAAACAGTTTAATCTCCAGGAGTATAATTTGTAATTCATGGTTGATTAGCCATGTATCACTTTGCCGTAACTCGGGTTTCCGACGACCAAGTACTCGACCGGTGGTTCATGCACCACAGTTAGAGAGTCGCTGCTGAAAGCGTAGAAATGGGATGCGAAGGGGGCAGTCCTCTGAGTAGTAGTTTTTTTTGTTTGTGTGTGTGTGCGTGTGTGTGTGTGGTTTTTTAACATTATATTGAGAGTTGGCCTTTCTTGGCGAAAGGCAGAGTTTTTCGTGAAAGGGGCCGGCAAAAAGCATGGCCCGTCCAAGAAGGCATTATTATTAACCGTAGCTACGATTCTAAAATAAAACAGTAGTACTATTTTTCTTTATAGTTATTGTAATCATGTATGTATTTATACATTCTTCATTGTTCGAATCTTGTACAAGTTGGTGTAAACCCATTTGTGTGAATTGTCATTTATAGCGTCAAACAACTTTCGACTTTTAACATAAAGAGACTTATATCGACGGACTGTGATCAAGTATCGATCTGAAACCTCTGATCGGAAACTATGGCCACCTGCAAAGGACTTTTGGTTGTGCTCGCTGCTGTGACACTTTCATGTGAGTACACATTCTGTTTGTGATCACTATCACGTGAGCACACATTCTGTTTGTGATCACTATCACGTGAGCACACATTCTGTTTGTGATCACTATCACGTGAGCACACATTCTGTTTGTGATCACTATCACGTGAGTACACATTCTGTGGGTGTTATTCTGCTACCAATGCAATGGTTTATTCGGGACAATAATGTTTATAGACGACCGTCTACTTAAAACTATCTTCACGCTACTCCTAACGATCACGGATGCTCTTCAATACGTTTGTCATGTAGCATGGGGGAATGCGGGCTTATTATCATTCGCTATTTTTATGTTTGTTTTGCTATTTTATTTTGTCGCCATATACAGTAGTTCGAACAATCCGTTCTTTTTTTAAAATATATTTTGATGACATTTGCAGCAGGTATTCCGGGACAAAACCCACGTATTACCCATCATTTTTAAACAAGTTTCTCCCCTTCTCGTTCCAGGTTTGATGTCTCAAGAAACTATTTGCTATGCTCAAGGTCGGGAACTATATTCACATGTTTTTAAATTTATTCTGTATTAATTTATTAAATATTGTGCATGTATGCATAAATTGGCATTCATTTATTTATTTTCACATTCATTTTGTGAGGGTTAATTTAGAAGAAAAAAAACATCAGATGGTTGATTTGAATTCGGTATTTCATCTCAGATGGTATTCACTATAATTTTGGCTGTCACTGTAATCTTGGCATTAAACATAATCATAATATTTAATGTTTTTATATTTTTAAATTAAAATGATCTTGGTCTTAAGTATGTCACTTGATGTGTAATCTGATCGTGTTAATAAAAATGATCTTATTTGATCTTCTTCTCACATAATATATGATGTAAATTATCTGGGTATTAAATAGGAAATTCGTATGAAATTCTCATGAAATACGATATCGGTATACATATCACAAATACGCACTAGAAATATCTAACAATACGCACTAGAAATATTACAAATCTCATCGAATAAAAGTAAAAATGTATATATTTTTTTTGCTTTTACATTCAGGTGTGGTTTCAATTGTATAAACTGAATTTCTCATTTGAATATCCATTTGCCACAGACGTGAACATCACGACTGTGGAGCTGCCTCCGGGTTGTTGGTGCAGCTGTCCCGCAGCCAACTTTACTCTGACAAATCAGGAATTTGAGATTAAGAGGAGAGAAATTCTGTTACTGGTCACTGAGAACCTGCTTGTGGATAAAGAGGTCTGCATTGTCATTTTATAAACTTCAACCAGAGGCGTATGTATATAACGACTTTAGAAATATTGGAACACTTATTATGAAGCAATAATGATTTTGGCATTTTAAATGATGAGTAGAAATGTAAGTGGCGTCAGTGAAAGGGCGAACACCTAAAAAAAAAAAGGGCGAATATATCTGATTTTTTTTTTCTCATCAAAGTGAAAAATTGAAATAAATTTCTCTTGATTCTGTTTCAGATCCTCCTTTTTCAGTCCATGTTCCTGAAATAAGACAGAGATCATGGCCAAATTTACGACAATGGTCATGGCCATCAGATATTTTTAATGTTACAGAGCAGCCTACATGGGCCCGCAGCAAAGTACCATTATAAAATCGTATTTTTCTCCGCGTCTTTGAGCAGCTCATTCAGTTTGCGCATCTTTGCGCAAATGTTCCTCAGAATCTTAGACACTATTTGGACGCTCAGATCGGTCTCCGTTTTTTTTGTTTAGTGTTGAAGCTTTTGGCTATTCCGACTTAAATGTTGTTTTAACGCAACTCTGACATTTAAAACTCTGTCTTACATGTTCCAGCGCTTAAATGAATACGTAAAGTGTTCACACATTTCCAAAATCGAATTCGTTCAAAGAAACGTTTCACCATTGGTAATCTGATTCTTGGCATTGTCTATCACACGTTTGCTTTACTTTAAATACTACAGGGAAGCGAGGAAGACGATGCCAAACCTTTCACAGTTATTGGAAGAATCATTCGGGTTTTTTTACGTCTCGTTTTCTATCCACAGACTCTTTCCGCGTCCAAAAGGAAAAAGTTGTCGGTGTCGGACAACAGGATTTCGGCCAAGACGGTGGGATACACGGGGGTCGTGACCTTGACCTTGGTGTTCTGCACCCTCGTCTGGATGGACGCGTCGTACATAAGTAACTTCGCAGCCTCCCTGGGCATCGGGATCAAGTCCAAGACCACGTGAGGGGGGGGGTGGTCATCCCTCCGCAGAATGATGCGAGCTGTTAATCTTTATAAATAACATGAATAAAAATAAAATAGGCCATAAAGAAAAAAACACAAAAGTCAAATTCATTTACGTTCTTTTATTACGGATGACTTTGTACCGCGCTTCGAGCCTTTGGGGATGAAGAGTGATTTTCAAATAAGCTTTATTATTATTATTATTAAGTTATTGTAATTTTTAAAATGAACTGTGGTAGTATCGATACGATTAGTAATACGAATATGAATTGAAGTGACGCTATTTAAATTACATTCCTCAGGCGAAGATACGATGCGCCCTTTGTCGGCGAATGCGCATTTTTGCATAGGAATTTTTTTTCCTAATAGTAAATATCCTTTAATTAAATTTTGCTGGCAGCCGCGTCTGCGTATAATGCGAACCCGTAATTGAAAGCACCAGTTTTGACGAAAACGTTATCTTATTCAACGTCATCAGTTTATCGTATTTGAAAATAGAGCCTATCCACTCGGTGTTAAGTGTATTTTATTTTTAAAATAACCACTTCTACACATTGGCAGCTTAGTCGTCTTAACAGGTTAAATAAGATTCTAGGGCGTTAGATGAATATTAAAAATCACGTCTTTTTTTATCATTGTACTTTATTCAAATAGCGGAAATGGCTAAACAATAATTTAACAGCTCACAGATCATTTAATAAATGTTTATTGTACAGCTGTGTGTGACGTCATTATCATTGAAAAATTAAAACACGTTTGCAATGATAAAGCACTATTTGAATGATAAGTCTCTCTCAATGATAAGTCTCTCTCAATGATAAGTCTCTCTCAATGGTAAGTCTCTCTCAAAGATAAGTCTCTCTGAATTGACCTTATAAGTTTGACAATTTTTTTATTGCACAAAATATTTGTTGTTCTTTTCTTTTTTATTTCATTTCTTAAAATAAATCATATGTAAAATTAAAATTATTCTCAACTAAAAAATTATATCCAATTTTAATATTAAACATGACACATCAATTTAACCAAGTAAACTGTTGTATAGATGGAGCTCAGTTATATAATTTTTGTACTGGCTTCCGTCCGTCAAAATGTGACGATGGTGTAAACTTTGCCGGACGAAATCCACAAGGCATGGGATTATTATTTTGGGGATCATAAGCTGGTTCCCTACATAGAAAATCGCTTCGCTCCACGCCGCTGGATAACCCACTGGGACATCGTGTGGATGATACGGTTTGGCACGAGTAGTGTCGCATGAGTTGGCGGAATGTTTCGTTGTGCCAGTGTTATCCGCCTTCGGGTTGGCATTCAGAGTCTCCTTCTCTAAGATGAGTTGCCGGTCAACGAGTTCCATCCACCCGGTGTGCTGGAGATGTTTTTGCTTGACTGGGCTTTGGTTGGGATTGAACTCCAGGCCTTGGCTTAGTTAAGACCACTCGGCCACCCAGCACACACAATAAGATCCATTAAGGCTCATTAAAAACTTGTCTGTTGACTATTAAATTATTATTAAAATTACATTTCTGTTGAACAAAAAACTAGTAAAGAATGAAAAAAATAAGTTTGAAGAGAGACTTCCTATGGCTTACTGAGATACTGCTTATGACTGCCGGATATGCTGCTTATGGCTGACTGATGCTACGTTGTAGCAGTGTCCGTCAATCGCGCTAAGGTTAAATAAGTCGCAATATAAAATTCCCGATAACTGTGCCAAATGAGATTGTCACAAATACCATAAGAGGGTACTGTTAACATTTTTTTAGTAAATTTATTCGCATTTTCTCCTTAAAATGTACTTAAATTAACGGGTCATTGATAACGTGTGATCAGCGTCTTAATATTTTTTTTTACTTTAGAAGAAAAGCGTGATGATGGAAGAAAGAAACGATAACCGTTTTGACAAAACAAAAATCAATAAATTGAATGTGCAAAAGAAAACAAAAAAAGTAATTATATATTTTTTTTAAATTTTAAAATCATATTTTCATATCCCTACGCACCGCCTCTTGCAACCTGTACATTTTTTGGAACCCGCTCCTCTATATACAAATGAACTCGCACGTGGAACCATACAAAGACGCTCGGTGTGTTGAAGATGCCACTAGGTTACTATTGATGCTGGCTGCTCCATGTGGTGAATTAATTGTTTAAACACAAAACATTACCATTAAAAGAATTCTGTGATATTTTTTTTTTAAGGTCTTTGAAAATAGTTAGAAATCAACGCGTCTCGCAGATTTATGCTTGACACTTTCATATTTTAGAAAAAGAATACGTGCAGTGTATAAAGTGTCTAAATGGTATGATAATTATTTAACAAGTTGAGCGCATTGTACATACAGCTTTTTTTCAAAGACCCCCTCTTGACTGCTTCAAACTGTAAACATAATCACATAAATCAACCCCCCTGGGGGTCAAACATCATAATGTATGGATGGTCCCTAATTAAAGATTGTATCCATTGAATCCAATGAGAGCTTAAACGTTGCTTTGTAGGGAATTGCCTAAAAAAAAACAACTTTTGACCTCAATCGTATTCAGTCAATCAAAATCTTGTGATTCACACATGCTACTCTAGATTAATCTATAAAACAAACTCTAATCTGAATGCCTCCGTTCTCCAACCCCCAGAATTTTCCCCCCACTCACTTTAGTTTTCTCCCCCTCCCCCCCACACACAAACACATTTCTTCCCACTCTCCCAAGTTTTCTCCATGTTTCCCTCCCCCACAAATTTCCCTTAACTCTCCCAAGTTTTCTCCGTGTTGTCATCCCCTCCACACATTTCTCCACACTCTCCCAAGTTTGCTCTGTGTTTACCTTGTCCTATAATATGAAATTAGAAACTGATGTTTATATTCTTTTTTTGTTAACATTCAGTGACTTTTTACAGTCTGGAGGAAAAAGGGGGGGGGGAGCAGGGGGTGAAGGTTTATCCCCAAACCAGTAGGAAAAAAAAAAAGCTAATTAACTACAGAGAAGCATTAAAGAAATATTGAATAAATCAAACGGATTTAGGATGTCTCAATCGGTAAACTATGTTAGCAGCCCCACACCCTCTCCCCTTTTTTTTCCTGTCCATTTTGTTAAATGAAAACTTACACACTTAAAAACAGGTGGTGTCAACAAAAACCAAGCATCCTCAGGTAAAACAAACATGTCACGGACAGCATCCTCAGGTACAACAAACATGTCACGGACAGCATCCTCAGGTACAACAAACATGTCACGGACGGGGAAAGCTTTCTTGTATCTTGGCACCTAAACGATGTCCAGTTGTCATCGGAGGCCCAGAAGATATTTTTGGTCTGCGTCATCCGATACACAGAATCGTCAAACGGACCCGGAGAGATACTCTCCTTTCACGTTTTGAAAAAACAAAGCTCGGCGAATCCAGGTCAATTTAGGTTACTCGGGTCACACATCATCATGTCGTATTCAAGATTTTTTATCTTTCCTATTATTGTGTATCTAAGCAGTATAATTTAATCCTTTGGCAAATGGTTATTCATTAAATCAGCTACGAATTTTACCACTACAACGCATAATGAAACATGGATTCAAACGACAGATGTTTTTATATCCAATTCAAGGTAATTTTTAAATTCATTTCAAAATATAAAGGTCTTTACATTACTTTGATGAATCATTTTTTGGAAAGCTTTATACAAGTAGCTTAGTAGGTAATTGACTATGTCAACGTTTATACGTTATTTCTTTGCCAGGAACAAAGATGGGCAACCACACTAAAACTCTTTCCCACAAATTCACATTTTTCAAAGCAAAAGCGGTTTGTCCAGTGATAAAAGTTTCTGTTTTTCATCCAAAATACTTGAAACAGTTTCTTAAATTACATGTTCCATTAAAGATTATTTTAAGATAAGATTCTTTTATTGATCCAAACAAATGGAAATGTTTTATGATTGAATTATACATTGTCAGCACATAAATAAAACAATTTGAACACAAGACATTTATAATAAATTATTTCAAACAGCCAGTCAGTGAGTTCTCTTAGCCAACTCGGGGACTTATTAGTTCTCAATAAGATGTGTGACTTCAGAGGGAGCACGCTGGTAAATTCGTACAGATTGGGGAACAAAAGAAATGTTATATCTTTCAGGCCTCCGCCTGATGGAAAGAATTCGTCCCGAACGGCCCGATCATAAGTATCTCTGATGAAGAGGGTGGGATCACTGGCGTAGGAAGCGGGGGGGGGGGGGGGGGGGGGGGGGGGGGGGGGGGGGGGGGTGCAGAGGGGCCGGTCCGCCCCGGGCGGCACTTTTCCTTTATATACTGAGGGGCGGCATTTTTGTCAATTACAAGGTTTTTTCGTGGTCGCTGCGGCAAAAATCTTTGCCCTCTCCGGGCGGCATTAAACCTAGCTACGCCACTGGATGGGATGTATCATCCAATATGTGTTTAGTTTAACAAAAACATCTTTCTTCAAATAGTTCTTCAAGTGAAAGATGTTTAGTTTGTGTTATGTTTCTAGCTTTCTTGATCAGTCGGTTTATGCGGTATTTAATATCAGACGCTGAATTTCTACACCAGCAGGTAATACTGAAATTAAGTAGGCTTCCAATTGTTGCACTTTAGAATAAGTTAACGACATGCCTGTTTACGCCGAAATTGGACAGTTCTTTTAGGTAGAATAGTCTTTGGTTGAATTTCTTATACAGCATTTCGCAGTGCTCATGCCATGTTAGCTTATTATTAAAGGTGACACCTAAATACTTGTATGCCTCCACTTTCTCTACATTTTGATTTTTTATATTAAGATCTGTAATCTGGTGTTTCCCCCTCCTGAAATCAACAACCATATCTTTTGTTTTTGAGACATTCAACTGGAGAAAATTTTCATCCCACCAATTGATAAAGCTTGTTACTAAGTTGCGGTATAGGCCTTCTCCTTCAGATATAAAGCCAACGATGGTGGTATCATCAGCAAATTTTAAGATTGGAACGGTGTCGCTTGAGCTTTGAATAAAATTCGTATATACAGTGGAACCTCTCATAACGAGTAACTCGCACACCGAGCAAAACAAATTGTGAA